ATGCTAAGCTAAGCTAACATGGCTACTAGCTTCTTAGATTCACCTAAGTGTGGCATTGATTTTCTCCTAGAAAAATAATAACTTTTTATTGACTTCCCTTTTGAACTACAGGTTTGAATATATTGAATGAAACAGAGATAGAGAAAATATTGCATCGCCTCATTTAGCTAAAGATGAAAATACACCAGCCCCTTATCTATTACTTACTTATTTTGTTTAATGATTGCTATCACTGCTGCCACTCAGTCTGACACAAACAATGCCAATGACACGTGCCGTTTTCTCCCTGCAGCCAATCAGATGACCCAGAGAGCCAAGCCCTTACTGATGGGTTGGACTTGCAGAAGTTCTCAGTCAAGGAAAGGGTGAGTTCTTCCACTGATGTGATCATCCATCTAATGATAATGGTGAGACGATGGCAGCGATCTAAAAGGTGAAACTGACTTCTGGCGTCAGACCAGTCAATCTGTCATTCAGAGGAGTAAAGATATGAGAGGATCCTGTTTTTATTTTTAGATGCATGCCTTCAGAATTATTTTTTGCATGCTTTTTTTGATAAATTGATTATTTAAAAGTACTACAGTACTACATTATTGTGGCTATCTCATCTTTAAAAATATATTTTTTTAGAATATAGTGATAATTATAGGGATGGGAAAGTCTGATGTTTGCTCACCAGGTCTGCTCATTCTGTATTCCTTTAGAGGGAGGAATCTGACAATGTAGAGGCCTCCATGGTGCTAGTAGGTAAGCCAGTGGTTGCATTGTTTGAGTACAACATGTGTGTATTTATTTGTATATTTATATGTGCGTGCTTATTAACAATACAATATTTCTGTCTCTTTGAACCAGGAGCCTTGGACTTTCTGGAAAGGCCCACAGTTGCGTTTGTACGTCTGAAGGAATCGGTAGTGCTCGACTCTGCCTTGGAGGCCCCAATGCCTGTACGCTTTGTCTTTGTTCTGGTTGGCCCAAGCAAGACCGACATGGACTACCACGAGACTGGCCGTGCTATGGCAGCACTAATGGCTGATAAAGTGAGTTAGCTGAGCCTTTATAAAAACCTTGATTGTGTGAGTAGTGACGCATTAACTGAAACATAAAAGTTAAAAGATAAGATGACTTTTAAAGAGGGTTGAGCCTATGAAATTGTGGTTTCAGTCAGAATCGATATAAAATGTAAAGTATTATAGTAACTGTGCATTCTTGTTTTTGCATTTCCATGTTCAAGCGTTGTAGTCATTCATTCAAAGTAAAGTCTCAATTGAGTTCAGGTTTCAAGTACTACACCACATACATAGACACTTAATAGTAACAATACGGATTGTTCAGATGCTGCTTGAAGAATATCTCTGACCATTTACTGTTTCATAAGAAATGTTTAGAAGTTGGAAATGTATTGCCAGTCTGCTACCAAAGTTAGCTATCTGCAGTTTTAATATCCCTCCACTATCTCCATGCCAGGTATTCAATCAGGCAGCGTTTCAGGCAAAGAGCGCCCGTGAGCTGACAGACGCCGTGGTCGACTTCATGGACTGCAGCATCGTCATCCCGCCCACCGAGATCCAGAACGAGGCGATGCTCAGTTCGATTATTAGCTTTCAGAAGAAACTGCTGCAGGACAGGTTACAGGCCTCCGAACCCCCACTCCGCCTGGACTCCAAGCCTCGCAGGGGTGAGTCAGTCACAGAACGTTGTTTCTTATACAACACCCACATAAACAAACCAATTATTAGCTGGAACAGTTTCCTATCTTAAAACTTAGTATTCACTTTAAATTGTTTCCGCCCAGTTTCCATCTCTACCGGGCCTCCACCTGAAGACCCCCTGTCCCGCACTGGTCAACCGTTTGGCGGCATGATTCGAGACATGAAGAGGCGCTACCAGTACTACAAGAGTGACATCACAGATGCTCTTAACGTCCAGGTCCTTGCTGCCGTCATCTTCATCTACTTTGCCGCCCTGTCTCCTGCCATTACCTTTGGAGGACTGCTGGGTATGTGTGCATATTTGTATAGGCGTGGTGTTGCTGCATGTTGTAGATCCTATAATAATATTTTGCCGTCGTCTTTGCCACTACAGCTGATAAGGTGGACAACATGATGGGTGTTCCAGAGCTCCTCATCTCCACCAGCATTCAGGGGATCATCTTCTGCTTCATCGCTGCTCAACCAGTCCTGGTCATTGGTTTCTCTGGTCCTCTCTTAGTGTTTGAGGAGGCCTTCTTTGCTGTAAGTTGTAACACTGAATTATATCCACCTCCTTGTGAGTTTTGTTAAAGCCTTTTTTGATCATTATGATCCCACTGAACTCACCTCGTCCCCTGTTTCCTTCACTCAGTTCTGCAAGTCCCAGGGCATTGAGTATATTGTGGGCAGAGTGTGGGTTGGAGTGTGGCTGATCATCATTGTGGTGGTCATTGTGGCGTTTGAGGGCAGCTTCCTGGTTCGTTTCATCTCCCGCTTCACCCAGGAAATCTTCTCCATCCTCATCTCCCTCATCTTCATCTATGAGACTTTTGCCAAGCTAGGGAGGGTAAAACCATCTTTATCCATTTCATCTGTCTTCAATCTAATTTAATCTCTGTGATTATTGTTCTGTGTCTCATGGCCAGATTACAATTCTTCCTCGCTCTCTCCTGACTTCTCTTTAGATCTTTAAGGCCCATCCACTGATTCTGAATTACGATCATCTGAATTCAACTATAGAGAATCCCTGGCACCCGAAGGTGGAAGAAACAGTCATATATGACAATACTACTGGAAACTCGACTGTCATTGTCAACACTATTAAGCCTCCTTACCCCAACACAGCCCTGCTCTCCATGTGCCTCATGTTAGGCTGCTTCTTTATCGCCTTCTTCCTGCGGCAGTTCAAAAACGGCACTTTTCTTCCTGGAAAGGTGAGTTGGCGAAGATTGTGAGAGCATTTGCAGATTATTTTAGTAAAGACTATTACAGTTCCCAGTTACAAATAAACCAGTTATAAACAATTGTATATGTTAATAACTGATGTATTTATAATTGATTCATTGTTTTTCTTTGTTTTTGATGTATGCTTACTAGGTCAGACGTTTGCTTGGTGACTTTGGTGTGCCTATTTCCATTTTCCTCATGGTTGTCGTGGACTACAATATTGAGGATACTTACACTCAGGTTGGCCCCGTTGTCTAAGTCTAGTTTGAGTGCTCAGTAAACACAAAGAGAGAATTTTACACTAAGAATGCTGTAACTTTGGAAGATATTCACTTTTTCTGACCAGTTACTTGAAAAATTAAATGTCCAAAGCAAACAACTGTTTTCTCTTCGTAGAAACTAGTGGTTCCCAAAGGTCTGATGGTGTCAAACCCAGCCAAAAGAGGCTGGCTTATCAATCCCTTTGGAGAGCACCAGGCTTTCCCTGTGTGGTTGATGTTCGCATGCTGCATCCCAGCCATGCTCGTCTTCATTCTGATCTTTCTGGAGTCTCAGATCACAACGTAAGTCAACAACAATATCGCTCAATGAATTATCAACCTCAGAAAACATATTTCCCGGTTTTATCCAAACTTGTTTCATGTGTCATGTCTCTTAACAGACTGATTGTGAGTAAACCTGAGAGGAAGATGGTCAAAGGCTCTGGGTTCCACTTTGACTTGCTGGTTTTAGTCAGCATGGGAGGACTCAGTGCAATATTTGGTGTGCCGTGGCTCAGCGCTGCCACGGTGCGATCTGTCACCCACGCCAACGCCCTTACCGTCATGAGCAAAGGACCAAAACCTGTGATTGAGAAGGTGATGGAGCAGAGGATCAGTGGCATTCTGGTGGCGCTGCTGGTTGGTACGTGCTGTCTAATCATCCAGTCTTAATGTATCTTTTTCTACAACTGCATGTTTAGAAATCTACACGTCTGTCATTCAAGCACAGTACACCATTCTTTATCCAAACGTCTATTTGTGTCAAGGTCTGTCAATTCTGATGGAGCCGATCCTAAAGATGATTCCCATGTCGGCCTTGTTTGGGATCTTTCTCTACATGGGAGTTACATCACTCAATGGCATCCAGCTATGGGATCGTATGCTGCTTCTGCTCATCCCTAAGAAATATCACCCTGATGAACCCTACGCCACCAGAGTAAGAGTCCCATGATTACAGGATAGCTGAAGTGCTTTACAAACAGCATGCAATGCATATGTTTTCATGATGATTCATGATTTTATTTGACTTAACGATTGTTATGTCTGACATGAATTCATATTATATCCAATAATTGTGGAGCACACCAGGGCTGTTGCTACTTCACTTTAAGTTTAAATGGTCCATACATACCAGTACTTCTGTAGAAGGTTGTGGAATGTAACTAAGTATATTTACTCAAGTACTGTCCTTAAGCACAATTTTTAGGTACTTTACTTTTTGTGCTCCTTTATACTCCACAACCATTCAGAGGCACATATTTACTTCACTGCAATTATTTTACATCTTTAAGAGCTAAATATATAAAATAAAATATGATGTTTTGTTATAAATTAAACTACTATATATATAAACTCATATCATGGATTGACCATGCAGTCAATATTATCTACGTGACTAATACTTTTACATGTTATACTACAGGTGAGCACAGGACGAATGCACTTTTTCACAGCTATCCAGATTGTCTGCCTTGCCATTTTGTGGATTGTTAAGTCCAGTCCAGTATCCCTCGCACTTCCCTTTATACTCATCCTCACCATCCCACTACGCATGTTCATGACCGGGCACCTCTTCACTAAACTGGAAATGAAATGTGTAAGTGGTAACCTATTGTCATTTCAATAAAGTAACACAGATGTAAGCAGCACCTTTAGGAATATATGAAGTCTAAAAGGATATATGAGATGTATGTGTGGGTGTTAAGCACATTTTTTTCTGTCTGTTTTAGCTGGATGCTGACGACGCCAAAGTGACATTCGAGGAGGAGCCGGGGCAGGATGTATACTGTGAATCACAGATGCCATTGTAGATGTATCTATCTTCTGTGACAGCTGCCAGCAATATTTTATTTTAACAGAAAGATATTTATTTTATATATGGCTCAAATGAATGTTTCATCTACCTATGAGCACATGTTTTGAGTGTTTTTTCATAAAGAGTGCAGATATAGATTCTATCTTCATAGTAAAGCTGTCAGGCATTCCTGAAGAGTTTTAAACAGTCACTCAGGTAAATTATTTGCATTATGTTGTTTTGTTTCTAATAGCTTGTGCCTTACACTCTGCTGGAAAACTTCATAAAACATTATTATTTTTATAAAGAACAAATATGTAAATGTTTTAAGCATTTATAATAGATGAATACAAAGTGAAATAAAACATCTTCATCATCATTCCAGCACTCCAAAAATGGACAGATTAAATGCTGAATGGAAAATATTAAAAGCAAAAATGTTATGTTTTTCCAAGCATTTGTACATTGAATGTAATGTTGTAAGATGTGAAACTTGTTGTATTCACTTGCTTAATGCAAGTAAAATCCAGACTCTGAATTAAATAATACATGATTTATAAAGCAATGATGCAAGCAAAGTGTAGATATTTTAACAAGAATAACACTGGAGAGCAAAAAAAAGGACAACACCACAATACAGGGAGAGAGAAAATGTTGACTTCTCGTGTGTGTTTTTAAAATGTATGCTGTGTGTTGTGTAGCTGTCGTCTTATCAACTTTCTATAAATAATATAAAAAAAAACTACCTCCAAAAAGACCAATCATTGGATGTGGCTAGCTTTTGATTAGGATTAAGGAATGCAGGAACAAATTAGACGATTCACAAGATTATAATCATTGATTATTTCTCACTTTGGTACCTGTACATACATTAACAATATGTGTGGGACACCAGAATAAACATAGGATGGGTGCTCTCACATCCTATTAATCGTGACATAATTTTAAATATAATATATAAAATAGATTTTTTAACATTTACTTTTAAATATATGATTCCTATCAGATCATTTAGTGCCATGATTTGACACCCTACCCCTCAAACAGATGGCGCTCCCCAACCTCAACGCTGTCTGAGAAGCTTGCCATCCGCCAATAAACACGAAGAAGAAAATGAACGCTCCTTGGCCGATTTCTGGCTGTTACAGATGACACACCTCCTTTCTCGTTCCCGATTGGTTGTTCGCTCAGCAAGGACGCGCCCACCACGCATGGCGGATTCTGCATGTTGTTGTTGGCTAAAAAAAAAGTAAATGGTCCATGTGGTGTATTTGTAATACGGTAACAACGGCGCTTGTGACGGTAACGTATCGTTAAGTTAAGTTTTTTTTTATTTTTATTTGTTGGTGACTAAGTTTTATAGGTTAGCTCACTGGCTAATGTTGAACAGTTTCCGGGAGTCAGAGTCGTCCAGTTTGCGTCCAGCTACCGGTAACAACAACTACTTCTGCAGTTTATCGGGGAAAATGAAAGGGAATAATACTGAGGATGAAACATCTGGTGGGTACAATTAAATAAACAGTAACACGGTCTTTAAAATCTTTTTTGCCATTTGATATTAAACTCTTATAATGCAGAGAGCTGCCTTTGGTTGGTCTAATGAATGCTTTTAACTACAGACTGGACCAAGGCAAACCTCCAGAAGCTCTATGCTGCAATGAAAACCGGCATCCCAGAACGAGACAGAATGAGCGAGTATACTGAAGGACTGAAAGCTATTGACTGGCAGAAGGTAGCTTTCCCTCCTTTCTCTCCTCAAGCATGCAGGGGAAAGTGGATGGAGATTTTGCAGGAGGTGAGTCAAAAACAATTTTACATTTGTTACCAATAAGGTGTATATGTTTCAGATTTGACGGTCTGAGCTGAAGTAAAATTGAAGACAGACTAAAAAGATCAATGTTGTTAGTTCAGTGTGATATCCTTGTTCTTACTCAGATGCGCAAGACTCGGACCCTCACAGAGCTCCTTGTTGAAGCTGAAGATAGCCTTTCCAGTCCTGGCCAGGTGAGCACAGCGCACATAAGCTTTAAAGAGCTTCATGTTGTTAAAGCAAAATTGCTCTCTGCAATGTTATATTCTAACGCCAACTACCACGTAGTTCACTAGTGTCTAGTAGTCACAAATTCATTGTGTCTGCTAATACAGAACTCCTGCAAAACAATAATGACTCATCAGTCTTGAAACTTATGAGGTGTATTGTTTTGTTGATTATATTATATTCATATGACAATAGTTCATTGGGAGGGCACATATTTGATTGATCTTGAAATATTAATTGTCTTCAAACTGAACAGCAGACTGAAGATGTGAAGAGCCTGCCTACCAAGCCTCCTTTGTAAGACACACACACACACACACTCTACAGTAACAGTGACTGACAGCTTAGGAATGACTTGTTTTGCTTTGTTTTATGTTCACAAATAAGAAACTTGCAGATCATTCAATATTCTTTTTATCATATTCACTCTGTGTAGTGTCATCCAATATAATGTCCTCATTCATTTTTTTTAAATTAAAAATTCACTGTGAAGCTTCATGTGAGTGGGTGAAAAGTAACCACCACCATAGTGGATGAGGATGTTATTGGAGCCGCCAGTTCAGAAGGAGCCAAAAGCAAAGTGCGTTCTTAACAGTCAAACAGCAGCAGGCAGCAGAGATGATGCTGTAAACTTTAATTTAATATTTTCACAGCTTTTAAGTGTTGACAGAGGCAATACAGTAACTTTTATACCATGACAAAATATTTGAAATATGTGTTTATCAAGGGTGCGTCAGATTGGCTCCCTCAATTACATCCTTATCCACTAGGCGACATGGCATTTCCAAAGAGTACCTGCTGAATATTCCATTCAATATGCCATTCACTAGAGGTTTGCCTTATTATATACTTAGCTTTAGATTATAGACTTAGCTTTTAATCAGTTTTTATTGTTGGTTTAATGAACTAAACAAGCTGACAACAAGGATTCAAGCAGATAATTCACCAGTAGCTGAGCACGTGTGTGTTTTTGTGTGTCTTTAGCAATGGCTATAATCTTTTCTGCAAAGAGCAAGTGTCATCTATGGCGGGCGTAAAAAAAAATGACTACGTGAGTAAGTGGGCCCAACGTTGGCGAGATTTGACGGAGAAACAGCGGGACGAGTACAGCACACGCTGCAAAGAGGTATGAACTGTTGCATATGGAATATAATAACTTGTTCTCTGAAATCAAGATTATCATGTTGGGATACAGTAAAAATCAGTTGAATTAAATACTTTGTTTTTTTCAGCTGAAGAGGCAGTACTCGATCAAGCTGGACAAATATCTGATGGTAAGTAAGGTGCAAGACTGCAGGTGCAGCTTTGAGCTGATGCTGACAGACTTTGTGTTAAGATGATGTTTATGTTCCTCAGACTTTTGATGAAAAGGAGCAGCAGCAGATCATAAATAAGCATGGCATCAAGAGACCCAAGGTGAGTGGTAACAGATTCTGATTCTTCTCTCTCTCTCTCTCTCTCTCTCTCTCTCTGTCACTATGCCTATATAAACAACAACCAGGGGCAGATCTAGAGAAATATTCATCCGGGGGCAAGAGGATGGCATTGAGACTTTAAAGGTTTTTGTTTGGCAACTGCTACCCAATGCCACCCCTCCAGATCCGACCCTACAACAACAACTACTCAGTGGGAATTGTGTGTGTGCTCAACTACACTGGATTGATCTCTTTGAAAAATAATTTTCTTTTTTTTAATGCAGGTCATTAAAAGACAAGTGACTCGTGTCAAGAAACTTCCTGGCGAGCCCAAGATGCCAGCTCAGTGAGAATGACCTTCAAACAACATTTATGAGCAACAAATCAAATCCATGGTTGTCTATGTAAAGACAAACATGTAACTGAATTTTTCTTTACTTGCAGATCTAGTAATTCATTATTCTGCAAAGATCAGATGGCACTTCTAAAGAGGAAATATCCAAATGCAAAGGAGCGCTTCATCAAGGCCAACCAAATATGGAAGAACCTTACCAATACGGAGAAGCAACGCTACAATGTGAAAGTAAAGGAAAATTTAAAAAAATACACGATGGAGCTGCAGAAGTGGTTTAAGGTATAAAGAACCCTCTCCTTGTAATGTTTTTATTAAATCCAGGCAGTTTTTCTCATTTCAAACTCAAACAAATGAGTCACCTTTTACATTCTTCAGACATTGAAGCCAGCAGAGCAGAAACAATATCGGATGTGTAACCGCAGTGTAAGCACTTACACACATTTGTTTCTGTCTTTAACGTTTTTTTTCTAACATTGTTTTCTTATATTCATAGTATGCTGTACTTGTTCTTTTCAGAAACGTAAATACCTTGATGCAACAGTTTATTACATAAAAGAAGAAAGCTTGGACAGACCATCAGTAAGTTGGATGTGTTGATGCAACACACACTCTTCTTACACACACATTCATGGTGTGACCAATGCAGAACTCTCTGGTAGCACAGGTATTATAGTGAGGTTTACCAATGACTCATACATTTTCACATACAACTAAAATTAAATTCACTGGATTTATCCTAATTAATATTTAGTCAATGGTATAAAGTCAGTAAAGTCACAGTTAATTGTGTGATTTACTGTATGTCTAGAAGGAATAATATGATATAATTCATAGAATGAAAAGGATATTCTATATGCTGCATTCAGGGTTTAAAAGCTCAATTTTTAGTCTAAATGTATTGCATGTCACACAGGATTCAGAAGATGAAGACATGGAGGACAGCAGCGATGATGAAGAAGAGGCGGAATGTGAAGAGGTTCGAATTTTAAAAAAAAAAAAACTTTTTTTGTACATTTGCAACCGTCCACTGAGCTGTTATAAATATCAACTGTTGGTCCACAGGATGATAAGGAGGAAGGAGAAGAAGAAGAATTAGGGGATGACATGTTTGAGATGTATTAGATGGTCAAGAGACGGACACACAGACACACATTAAGTTCAGAGCCGGATTCTGGATTTGAGATGATGGACGATCCCTCCGATGGCTGACTTTAATGCCACAATGTTTGGCAGCCATGTTGGCTGGAAGGTTGCCAGCACCAGTGCTCCTCCGGACTTCAAAGTGCCCTCGGACCCCAGACTCCCCGGGACCACAAAAGGCCCAGGTTACAGTTACACAGTGTGGCAATTTCTTCAGAGTTTAAGTTTGGAATTAAACACCATTACAGCATGTATTATACTAGAGTTAACAGTCAAAATTGACTGCATCTGCTTCAGAAAAACCAAAACTATTGTAACTGTAAGAAATAGTAGGTCCTCTTATGAGCATAGAATGCTCCTCTGTAAAAAAGAAAACATGTTTTAAGACCTTGATTATCTCATCTTACATTGTGCTTACATGCTGCATATCCCCAAAATTAATTAGGTCAAATTACCACTTTGTTCTGTTCTAATCTGCCACTGGAATACTGTCGATGATGGGTTAATACGGATTCATCTGGTCCTTTCCGAACATGAATGCATCTGAGGTAAATCAAGCCATCCTTGTGAATAAAGGAGACTACTGAGACACCTTATTGTACCATTGCTCAACTAGTTTCATACTATGATAACATGTATGTATACATTTAGTGAAAGCACCATGAGGAGCAGATTTTACAATGATGTTGGGGTCAAAATTAGTTAATCAAAACATTATGTGATTCATACTACCAACTGTTTTACATTTTTTAAAGTTTAGCAGTTTTTTTTTTTTACCGTAATACACCCTTGCATTTTATTGTTTTTATTTAAAAAAAAAAACTTTCTAATAAAGATGTAAAGATGTGAATTATCTTGGATTGTCTCATGAAAAAGAAAAGTTCACATATTAAGGCACACACCAGACCCAGATCTAAAAAAGAAAAAAACCACGATGGTTTATAATCAGAATCAGAAATACTTTATTGATCCCAGGGGGAAATGGTTTATCATATAGTTGCTCACATTAAAGAATATAAATAAAAAGAATTACATTACAATATCTAACACAATATATACAGAGTAGAAAATGTATATATAGGTATATACATGTAAAATACAATAAAATAGGAATAAGATAAGACCCTGTGTACATTATAATACTGTATATAGAAGTAATGTATTTTACAGTATGTGACCGACACAAGTTTAATAAATAACAGTAGTAAGTACAGATAACGTTGAGAGTATTGCACATTAATGAGATAACTACTACAAAGCCAAACAAAAGGCCGATTTCCCCGCACTAACTGCACGGGGCAGCACGCAGTCACATGCTGCTGTGTGTGGATGAGGCAGTGCTGCAAAGGAAGCGCTCGGTGGAAACTCGGTGTAGCGATCGATTGCTACTGTCTGATCTCTGTGATGTAAAGATGGATGCCTGCCGAAATAGGTAAATAAACACAATTAGCTATTTGCCTAGCTGTGATAGCGGTACTCCTCGTGGATGTGCTTCACGAGGAGGGGGGTATGCAGGGGGTTGGGTTTTGTTTGTCTCCTTCAGAGGGGGTTTGTTCGCGGGGTTGAGAGGCGAACAGCCGCAGTGCAGCAGCGGTGTTAGGTTCGCGGACGAGCCTCGCTGTAGTCAAATGTAATTCTTCAACCATTCAGTCGCCTACAAATGTGTTACATTGTATTATTTACTCCGGCCAGCTTGATACATTGTGACACGTTCAGCTCCTAGCTTTAGCCGCTGTTGACCCGGAGGTTTTGTGCCTCTCTTGCAAACCCCTCTTGGCACGTTCAAATCCTCCAGCCTATTCACAGCCACGCTCTTTGTTTTCTTCGGCAGGGTTTTGGCTAAGCTACTCTCCTTTTAGACAGCATTGCTCGGACCCGCGGCAGGGTGGTGTTTTGAAAACGGAGCTGGCGTCGTGTTTGGCTCCGTGTGAGATGTTGCAGTGCAACAACACCGACGCTAAGTGCTTGTGTTTTGTGTTATTCGCAGGTTATAAACGTGGGAAGTGTCTCCCCGGCAGTGTTTTCAACGTGCAGTTGTAAGTAGCCGCATCACTTCCAAGGCGTCAAATGTTCACCACGCACTGACATTCATTGGTTTAAAGACGGGATTATGGTGCCACTGTGCTGCTAACTAACTGTGTTTTCCCTCCTGCTTGCAGCCCTGTTTTGGCCGATGCTTGCTGCGCTACAGCATGACCACAGCAGCGTCGGCTCATCTGGTAGTTCTGGCAAATGAAAATGGAGGAGGTTTCAATGTCCAGCCTGGACAACAGCAAGCTGGAGGTACAGGAGAGCAAGGATACAGTGTTAGAAGTAGCTTTGGAAATGCACATTACGCCTGCAAACAGTGGCCTGACTTGTGTCTGTTTCTCTCTCCCCCTTCCTCCCTGCCTCCCTGCCTCCCTCCCTTGCCTGCCAGGGCCTAGCTCAGGACATCCTGTCTGACCTGGTGGAGGATGCATGCCTGGGTCTTTGCTTCGAGGTCCACCGGGCCGTCAAGCAGGGCTATTTTTTCCTGGATGACACGGACCAAGAAAGCATGAGGGACTTTGGTGAGCATGACTTTGCCTTTGCCTTTGTCTAGGGGACTAGGGGGTTTCTGGTGAAATAAAGATGAAATATTTCTCAAGCTGCCACACTGTTACCTCAGGGTAGTGAACAATTCACTTTCTTGTTCACATGAATGACACTAGATTATAAATAAGGCTAAAAATAGCAACAGTACATTCAGGCAATGTAGGTTTATGTGTATTTTGACCTCCATCCGTGTCCGTTCTATGTGACTACATTATAAAGCAGAAGCGTTTTATCAACCGTTGCTTTAAATTTCCAGAAATCGTGGACCAGCCGGGATTGGATGTGTTTGGCCAGGTGTACAACCAGTGGAAAAACAAGGAGTGCGTTTGTCCCAACTGCAGCCGAAGCATCGCTGCCTCACGCTTTGCCCCCCACCTGGAGAAATGCCTGGGGATGGGACGCAACAGCAGCCGCATAGCCAACCGCAGGTACGAGAGCAACACAGGGAGAGTTTGTCTACTGCGCCGATGTACGCCTCTTCCTTTGTCCTGTTAGCTCAATAATCTTCACCCTCAAATATTCTGTTACTTGCAGTGAGTAATGCTGAGTCACTGCATGCTTCATTCTTCTGTCTTTTACAGAATAGTCACCGGTAACAACACCAACAACAAGTCAGAGAGCGACCAAGAGGATAACGACGACGTTAATGATAATGACTGGTCTTACGGGGCAGAAAAGAAAGGTGAACTGGTGCTACCTTTTACCTTTTTTTTTTTTACTGGTGCTGAATGTTGATTGTCAATACAATCCTCAAATGAAGTTGGACATATGTGAAATTACTCAAATCTAAAATGCAATGTCTTTCTTTTACAGCCAAGAAAAGGAAATCGGATAAGGTACTTTTCATTTCGTTGTGAAATCCTAACAATTAGTTAACATTGTACTGTTATTATTATCTCCATCATTCACTGATTTATATTTAACACATTTAACACAATATTTCTCAATAGGGATGCACTGATACTACTTTTTTTGAGAAATACAAGTACTTACATTTTGGTACTTGCTGATACCAAGTACAGATATAAGTACTTTTACAGTTCTAATTGATAACGTGTTTTATTTCTATCAGATGTTCCTCACTTTCTGACAGTAACAAATTCAATTTTGTTGTAAAAGTTGCTTAAAATGTCTCCAAACTGCTGACATTGCTTCCCCACTGCCTACCTACTCAACTAACGAGAGGTTTTATAACGTCACGCTACCGTAAAGTAGTATCTGAGTAGTTTTATGATTACAATTACGAGTACATGAGCACAGTATCAGACTCGGCATCGGTCCAGCCCTGTTAATCATTATTCCTGATTTGTCCTCTCAAACTAAATTATATTTTCTTTTTCCACCTCAGAATCCAAACTCACCCAGAAGATCCAAATCATTCAAACATAAGAACAGTAAGTGGAAATGAATCCTTAAACCTCTTCTTGATAGCTTCTCTGCAGTTTTTGCTTTGTGTACTTCAAATATTCGTTCAGTTTTACGCAAACAGCACCGGTTAAAACATAATACAACAATTATTGTGGGAATATTTATAATCCCAGCACATCAGGAACACATGTTTGCTCATATAATATTCCTGACTGATTTCATGCTTCTATTAATCTTATCTATGAGGCTAGGAAACACTAAATACGCAATAAAATGCTACAGCCTTCAGAAGATACAGTAAAACATTTGAGTTAAATTAAGTAAGTGTATTTTGAATGTTTGCTTTCAACCCTTTTGCATGTTGATGTTCCTAAATTGCAGAGAAAGTAACAGGAACATCAGCATCAGTGTATCAGTATACTGCCTATGTGTATAAGGTCGCTGTTAGTGATATACACTGTGGACAATTTAACAACCAGGCTAGGATGTACTACATTTTTACATTGGAAAGTATGAAATATGTGATTATATTATGAGCTCAGAAGTTTTATGACATCATTCTTTTTTTTTATCACAATTTGTACAGCTATTATATTAAATTGCTGTATTGCTGCTTAAGAGATACTTTAATTCAAATAGGCTGCTGTTAAATTTGTTTGTTGTGGCTGAGAACCATACCACATTTCAGTTAGGGCAGATCACTTATTTTGAATCCAGTAATTTAATTTTAACAAATCCTGCTTAGTGCAGCATTTTAGAATAAGAAAATGGATCCCAACCTGTCCAGTAAATGCATGCCTAGATGAGGGTTCATGGTTCAATATCGTTTTGAATATCTGTCTCTTGTTGATCATAGAAATGATGAAATGAAGTAAATACTAATTTTAAATCCCTGCAATTGTCTGGTGACATCCAGCCTCCTGTTTATTTCCATAGGCATGATGGGTCCGAGACGTCGCATGGACAACCAGGAAAGCCCACGCATGCTGATGAAAGATGAGGCATTCCCTCAATAACACACTCAGCCACAAAGACACATTCTCTTAGCACGGTGTGTGCGCATACACACAAAACGGGAAAGACCAACAACACTTCACCCTCAGTTCTTTATGTTGTGAAATCAATGGACGTCGATGTTATACGTGACATTTATGGCGTTTGCTGCTCTGCCGAAGCAGTTCAGACCTCCCACTGTATACTTGACTGATTTTTTTTTTTCTTTCTTCTTCACAAAATCATTGTACCAACACTCAGTTTTTTTTTTTCACTTCTTTTTTGTAGTTAATTTTTGTTTCAGAAGTTTTTGCTGGAGTCCAAAATAATGAATATCACCATATACGATTTCACTGCACAGAAGTAGGTGTAATTCATTCGGTGGCCAAGCAGAGGCAGCTGTGTGAAGAGTGAAAGTGTGCACATACAGTATGTTGTTTCTTTAAAATACAGAACTGATTAGCCATTAGGTGTACTTTATTTCCTCACCTTTTAAAATGTCATTCTTTGAAAAAAAAAATAATGTCAAAGACAATCATTACTAATGGTTTGTCTTTTTTATTTTCACATTCACTGTCAGGCTCATAGTTCTCCAATTGAATTACAATAACAGTGTGTGAGAGAGTTTGTCATTCACCTGTGGAAACTTGTTTTAAAAATGTTCAGTCGATGAACCCCTAATTGTACAAGCAGGTATTTGTTGCTGAAAGCAGGTTTGTTTTGTTTCATTTTGTTTTGGTGGATAGACTGGCTTGTTTTCTAGCATTCAAAAAAATGTCTTTGTATCATGTGTTTACATTGTAAAGGGTTACATATATCCTTGGTGTGAAGTGATAGTGTAAATATTCCAATAGTTGAATTGCTGCTATCATGGCTCAGTTTGTTTCATCTGTCTAGCATAATAAATGATTTGTTACCTGTCGTTATGTCTCTGGAACCTTTAATAGCACTGAATACACCTCAGTAGCCCTGGTTGAGTACTTACTAATAAAGGAGAAATGACCAACAGGGGAGGCTGTTGATCAAATGAAGAGTTCTAGGGATGTTTCAGTTCTTATTATTTTCCATACACCTATTGTATGAGACATTAAAATGTTGCTTTGTGAAAGTTTGTTTTTCCACTTCATTCTCAGGTAATTGAGAGCTTATAAACGCAACAAAGTTCACAAAAATGGAGATTTTACTGTAAGTTTTACTGTAAGTAAAATCTTCTGAATGGAGCTGCCAAAACTGAAGACTGCCAGTTATGCTGCCTTCAGACGCTCCTCCAAAACTCCGAAATATGAGCTTCGATACAGTTGCGTGTGTAGGTCATAGGGCTGGTGGAAAATTAACGCTTAAATTGGTGGGGTCCTTATTGCAGGCTACAGTCTGATCTGGCCATGTTGTGATGTGAGCTAATTGTCATATATTCAAGTGATATTAATAATTACTAGAATCTGACAGGAACATATGTTGCGGTGGCAGTTTTTATGTAGAGGAAAAGAGGCAATAATGGCAACAAACAAAAAATACAGGTATTAATTAAATACACAACTAAAAACGCAACTAAACATAATTTTTAATGTGTTCTCGCCAAGAGCATTAACGTTAGATTAGGCGCCGAAATGTGTAACATCGAAATGTCCGATACCGATGAAGGCAGCATTTTGCATTGTGTGTGTAGGCAGTTACAAGAATACTTGGTGTCTCTTTAGACACTCAGTTTGTCGTAAGTCAGCCTATCATGTGTTTCATCAGCCTCACAGTGAATTAGCTGCTCGTTAGCGATGGTAGGACTGGGGAACCGGGGCAGGAGATGACAAACAGCAGCCTCCACTCGGTGCCCAGAAGAGAAGCAGCTGTAGACAGAAGCAAATCCCGGAACTTGAACCGATAGGAAACGAGCTAACATTAGCTAGCTTTTTGTTGACAGTGTGCTTGCTGTCAAACCAGAACCGAGCTCATTTAAAGTCACTGGAGTGGGTAAGCTTAGCTACTTTTGGGACTCGTACCAGTGGCGTTTAGTAGCCTGCTATACTTCGATTTGGACCCAAGTTTTCCGTCACTTTGAACCACTTGTGGATCCAGCAGATGGCAGCGAGAGGAGGCTTCACGGGTCCTCCGATGAATCCGAATGTGCACCCCATGAATGTTGGGCATGCTGCGGGCATGAGGCTGCCAGGCATGCCCCAACCTCCGGCGGGATACCCCCGCAGCCTGAGCAGCGCTCCGCAGTACCCACAGGTTGGTTTTCTGCATACTTTATCTTTATTAAATAACGTTGGGGGGGGGGGAGAACTGACGCTATCTGACTGAAGTTAATTTTACTGTGGATTTATTCAAAGTTTATGTTACCTCTGCTGCATGCTTTTCAGAATAAATGCAGTTCTTAGTTTGGGTTTAAACAGGAGTTTCCAGTTAAAACACAGTGACCTGACAGATATTAAAGTAAGAAGAACCTTAAAGTTCATCATACTTAAATAAGGGGCTACTTAAGGTGCTACTTCCGCATTTGAAACAGGTATTACTGGCTGCCAACAATAAAAAGAGTGTAACTATTTTAATGTGGCGTTTATAGTGAGTGATCATTGTTTTCCCTTTTTTTTTAATAAAATATATATAATTAGATGTTTTATTAAATGTAGTTTGACATACCAATGTTTCGTGCATTTGTTGAAAGAGAATATCACGTGGCCGCCCTTAGCGCCCTGTCAGTTAGCTTGAAAACAAAAGTAAGTTTTATCATCACCACCATCTGTCAGCGCTAAGCCTGCATGTATTATCCCAGTTTTGCCACCATCTGTAGCTTCATGCGGTCGTTACTTATGATGCACCAGTACAGTTGTGCCATGTTTGTCAGTTTGAGCCATATGGGTCCAGATATGAGCTTTTCTGTTACAGGAGAGACCGAACAAAGCAAGCAGCACTGTTAAGGGAGAAAACTCACCTATTTTGTTGATATATGAATCAAATGTGTTTTTTTTTTCACACTATAACTACAGTGTAAAACAAGATACAGGAGATCATTTATTTCCGTATTATCCTTCCATAATCTACTAGAACAGATTTGTAGAAAGAAACTTGTTCAGCACACAACAATGTTTTTCCCAGCAATTCTTATGAACCTGAAATCATAGCTTCGGCTTCCCTTCTTTTCTCTAGCGCTCAGGGATGCCACCCAGCAGAGTGGGGGGCCCCTTAGGGTCAATGGGGGGTCAGCTGCCTGGTCCTTCTTACGGCGGTGGGAACATGTCTATGCGGCCAGGCATGGGGCCTCCAAGCATGGACGCCTCGAGGAAGCGGTTCCTTCACCAGCATCAACAGCAGCAGCAAGAGGCGCTGGGAGGCCTAAGACGAGGGTAAACTGTGGAGAAGTGAGAGTGTTTGTGTGAGGGAAGCAGAGGACGAGGAATAACGCCAAGCTTGATTGACCACGACAGCCAGGGGCCAAATCAGAGATTAGCGCTGCGTGAGATTTTGCCTCGGCAGTTGTATAAATAACAGTTATTTTCTTTGTCAATTAAACTGCGGATTGATGAAGTTCCCACAGCACAAGGAAACATTTGACAACAGTCCAAGCCAATACATTCAACATACGAGGATATAAAACAGAGAAACGCAGCAGATCCTTAAGTTTGAGAAGCTAGAACCTGAAAATGTTTGGCATTTGACTTTTACATGTATTAAATGCTTTAATTAATCAGTTATTAAGATAGTTGCCAAATTGCATACATCTTTTGCCACGCCCCTTTTTACATTAACAACAGTAACAGTGAATAATGCTAGTTATGATATAATAAAACCAGAAAAGTGTTTGAGAATCATAAAAAAATGGCTCCTGTGTATAAGAGGAACGTCTAATTATGAAAGCGGGTGTTTTTCCTCCTTATTCACAACACAGATTTAAAACAGGATTACTTTAAGGACCCTACTAGTAATGTTTTCTTCAGCCAGGACAAAAACTACAGCAGGAAGGATTATTTCTTTTTAAGAACTTTTTTAGTGGGTTATAACACTGTAGTAGTCATAAAAATTCAGTGGCTAATTTTTCTAGTTGTGGCTCTCCGTTCAGGATGTGTTTTTCTCTCTGCAATCTGTTTGTGAAGTTTACTGTGCTGTTAAAAGCACAGCTCAGATCACACAGCACGAGGATAGGGGTATCTCATGACTGGCCTTTGCTTACAAAGCGGCAGACACGAGTGAGTATTTTTGACTTCAAACTGCTCAGTGATGCCACACTCGTAAATGTGGCGAGCCATGATGTGAGACAGCATTTACAGTGTCTTCCACAATGAAGCGCTTGTCTTTAAAGGTTTATCTCATAACAACATTCTCAGTATAGGAGGATTAGTGAGCCAAAGGGCTTGAAGCAACTTCCTAAATTCTCATTAAAGAGCTTGGAGTTAAATGCAATCATAATGAGGGGGAACTTTAATTTAATTAAAGAAACAAAATAGCTTTTATGAAGTCTCTAGCAATGATAAGTGGGAGCCTGTGGTGCTCATACGGGGATGAAGAGATAGCACTGGCAGGGTTTCACAAATTATTGATAATCAAAGGAAGTGAATGAGGCATTTTATTAATCTTATGTCAGTGCATAGTCAGTGCCTTGTAAATTGTATAATGAAGGTCATACTTTTAAAAGCACAAATGCTAAATGATGAGACAACATTGTACATAGTACAGTACGCCCTTGTTTGAGTAAGTGGTATTTGTAGCCATTAAATCCTTTATATTGTAGAATCAATTCATATGTCTTTGTTTATTTTTAACTTTTTTGCAACTGAGCATATAATACTTTAGAAAGCATCTTATATTTGATCTTTTCTGTGTGATTTAGAGCTAAAAGACGCAAGATGGCTGACAAGGTTCTCCCACAGAGGGTAAGAATATGTTGGCCCCCTGCATCATACTTCAAATGGATCCAGTTTGATTACAGTAGCTGTATTCCCTTAATGTTCATGTCCTGCTGTTGGCCCTTTAGATCCGAGACCTGGTCCCAGAGTCCCAGGCCTACATGGATCTCTTGGCCTTTGAGAGGAAACTGGATCAGACCATCGCCCGAAAGCGCATGGAGATTCAGGAAGCCATCAAGAAGCCCATTATGGTATTAATGATAACGAAAGGATATTTTGGGATAACTTTCAGGCTTTATCATGTGCTGCCTCATCACAAGTTAATGTTAAAATTCTTAAGATTTCAAGCCTGGTGTATTTGGCAACACCCATCGTTGTCGAAAGTAACAACAATAAAACAGCTAACTCTCCTCGGATGGCTACATTTTTCAGAAATACAACAGAAGAGCAACTGGCAGCCTGTTTACAGTGCAGCCAAACAAACACATTGTTTTAATCAAGAAGTAAGTCAACAATAAGCAATGTAATTTCATACTCTGTACAGTGTGACTAGTTTTCCACTATCTTCAGCAATAGTTCTGCTGAAGAACTGGAAGTGTGCAGCCTGTCAGTACTCTTCATCTAACAGCTCGCTGTGCCTGGTTTTGCAGAAATGTAGAACGACTGTGGTTAGCGCTAACCTAAGTGACGACTATGTTGAGTTTCCTGTGGTGTCTTCACAATAAAAGCAACTCCGTGTATAGCCAGCTTAATGTTTTTAATGTGAAGCAGCATCAGTAGGAAATGTTGAGTTTGCATGAGCAGTAGTGAGAGTAAACAGTAAACAGTGTGGCTGATATGAAATTAAAGCAGTAATACTGGATTATATGCAAGCATAATGTCTTGTGTATCCTCGTGCTTAGAGAATCAGAATCAGAAATACTTTAATAATCCCATGGGGAAATTACTTCTATTTTTAATTTGATCCAGCATGGGAATGGCGGACTCCGCCACTAACAAAAACTGTATTATAGAGAGGGAATTACAGAATGTAAATCAATTGAATGGCTATTGGTGAAAAAATGCCACCTATAAATAGTATTTTTTTTAAAAAAAGCTTGATTTCATGAATATCTTAAGAGTACAAGTGTTTACTGGAATTCCTGATATATCTCCCTGTTCTCTATCTCTTATCACACAGCAAAAACGCAAGCTCAGGATCTACATCTCTAACACGTACACCCCTAGCAAGCCTGAGGGCGAGGAGGCAGAGAAGGTTTCCTCATGGGAACTGAGAGTGGAGGGCAAACTTCTGGAGGAAGTAAGTGAACAACACTCTCGTTACATTTGAATCTTGCTGTTTCACCATAGTCCCAGTGTGGTCTGACTCCAAAGTATTCCAGTCTCTGTTATTGTGTTTCTGAAAACTTTAGTCACTGAGCTGTTTGGCCTGTGTCCTTGGCTCAGACCACGCAACCAGATGTGTGTTTACAGCTCTCTCCACTCCACCCTTACAGCTCCTAACACACACACACTCACTCACACACAAGCTCATGTTCTCTTTTGAAATGAGGAATTGAAACCACTAGCCGTTACATACCATGAGCTGACATGCCTCCCCTCCCTCCATCAATTCTAGCTCAACTCATTGTGTCATCTGGGGCCACATGAAGGAGGATTTTTTTCCTCTTCTTTTTTTCTGTTAATTTTTCCCCTGGCTCGTTGGTCTAGGCATGCGTAGGAGTGTTGCATGGAGTAACAGAAAAAGAAAAGGGACGTGAGGGAAGGAGTGAAGGGGGTCATGTTGTGCAAACAGACTTTGTTGGAGCTGGGGAGAGGGCGGGGGTGCAGCAACAGCTTTTTCTACTTGTCTACAGTTTTGTGCTTTCGCCACCCCCAATGTGGTCAGGGCTAAACAATGCAGCTGCACACTGCACAGTCTGACACAACACAATAAGAAGACATACATAGATAGCAATCTTGTTACTGTCTTTTCACACTCTTGTGTTTTCTTTGTATTTTTAGCCTGGCAAGCAGAAGAAGAAGTTCTCATCTTTCTTCAAAAGCCTGGTGATTGAGCTTGATAAGGAGCTCTATGGACCTGACAACCACTTAGTAGAGGTATGACATCATTTCTAAGGCATTTGATGCAACCACCTTGGAACATTTTAGGCACACAGGCACCAAAATGTTCTGAGACTACTATTGGTTCATCGGCCCTGCTACAGTTTTCAGCCCTAGTCAGAAAGTGGAGTTCAGCTGGAATCTTTAAAACTTTTGGATCCAATCCTGTCTGTTCTTGTTTGACAGTGCAGGGGAGGATTATGAAGAGCTCTTGAGTCTGGAGAATATCCTACCATGTTAAGTCCAACTTTGTGTAACTTAGGTTTAAGTTCATCCCACAGATATATCAGTTTGCTTGACATATTGACACACCACAAAAAACATTTTCGTTTTTTTAACGTTTTCATTGGTTAAGAGTCTAATTTATATAACTGAGTGTGTCACACACAAAAACAACAGCAGCGAAACAAAGAATTTATAGTAATACATATGTAATGATTGCAGCATTTAATAAAACTGGCACTGAACTAATATTGTCCTAGAGCATTTGCTTGTATGTGTCTGCTTGTAGATCCACTATCTGTATTTATATCTGTATACAGAAGCCACAAGTAAGGAGGAGTAAGTAGAGAACTGCGGAGGAACATATTTAGATCAGTTCATTTTCGATTTAATAGCTCTTAAAAAAAAATGGAAAAAGAAATCAGGTCTTTTTACTTAATTTTATCTTTCAGTGGCATAGAATGCCCACCACTCAGGAGACGGATGGTTTCCAGGTCAAAAGGCCTGGTGACGTGAATGTTAAATGCACCCTTCTGCTCATGCTTGACCACCAGGTACCACCCATTTACTCAGTTACCATCTTGCAAACAGTTGTTTGACTTGCTTACTTACTTTTTTTTTAAAACAACATTTTCTTTGCCCCAATGTTTTTTTTTTATCCCCCCCCCCCCCAGCCCCCTCAGTACAAACTGGATCCACGTTTAGCTCGTCTGCTGGGTGTGCACACACAGACGCGGGCCAGCATCATGCAAGCTCTTTGGCTCTACATCAAGAACAACAAGCTGCAGGATAGTCACGAGAAGGAGTACATCAACTGCAACCGCTACTTCAGACAGGTAATGGATGGTTTTGAGGCTACGCCAAGCAGCAAAATGCAAGCTCACTACTTAACACATACATTGTTGCTTTAACACTTGAATACGCTTTAAAAATCAATTGGTGTATGGACTATATCAAATGTGCAGATTTGTTGAGGGATTGTTTTTGTTCCCTCAAACTAGTAAACTATTAGACTCACAAGCCTCTAAACGCTTCGCTCAGTAGAAACAGACTTCCAGCTTTTGTTGCTAAAACTGGATGGAAACAGTTAGAGAATTAGAAATGCTGCATCACACAACAAGGCTTTAGCGCTGTGACATGCAAAAGTCATATTCTTGTAAAAACTCTTTTGTTTAAGGTACACATTGACTGTTATAGGATTGTGCAGATGATATACATCTGTTATATTGGGTTTGTAATGTTTTAATGCTTGTTGAGAGACAAAGTGACAACAAAACATTACCTTTAGCATGTCTAACTGTCTCTGTTTTCTAACCAAATGCTGTCCAGATCTTTGGCTGTCCTCGCATGAGGTTCTCTGAGATTCCTATGAAACTGGCGGGCCTGCTGCAGCACCCTGACCCCATCATCATCAATCACATGATTAGGTAGGGGAGTGTAGATCATTATCAATCTTACTGTGTTTGTGCACATGTTTTTTATATGTGTGTGTGTGAGAGAGAGGGAGTATTTCTAGAGATTTAGGTTTTTGCTTATAATGAGTGAAAATATTCACTCCTGGCCTGTTCTTCTTCTGCCCTGATTATAGTCAACCTTTAATTCTGTTTTGCTGTCTGTGTGTCTCCTCTGAGCAGTGTGGACCCCACAGATCAGAAGAAGACTGCATGCTATGACATTGATGTGGAGGTGGATGACCCACTGAAGGGCCAAATGAATAGTTTCCTGTCCTCTACAACCAACCAACAGGAGATTGCTGCTCTGGAGATGAAGGTAAGGCCTGCCGGTCCATCACAAATGTCCGCAACTCACTGGCTTTTAGGATAATAGTAAATAACAGTGGGAAAGATGTTTTGTTTGTTTAAGATGTCTCATCTATTGCTGTACTGGTTGTGCTCACTGCAGATTCATGAGACTATTGAGTACATCAACCAGCTGAAGACTGAGAGAGATTTCATGCTGAGCTTCAGCAATAATCCACAGGACTTCATCCAGGACTGGCTCAAGTCTCAAAGCAGGGATCTGAAGGTAAATGTCCCCACCACTAACTTACTGTACCTGTAACCTTCTTCTATTCCAACTTATATGGCTGTTGTATCTTCATAACAACCCTATCAAATGTTTGTTTTTGTGCACATATTTTGTGTAGTCAGATACTTTTACGCGATTGATTGCTCATGTTAAATGAAGGTACTTCAATTCTCTGACAAACATGCGCTCCAGGAGGTACAGTGATTACTAATTGGATCCATCAGTACTGCCAAAGTAAATTAACAATGTATTCTTGTATTCTCTTAAACCTTTATTTTGGCATTGGGTATTGAAACTGTTTTCTGTATTCATGAAATTGTGGTTCCTCGTGTTTAATGATGCATTTTTTTTTCCACCAGTTGATGACAGATGTGACAGGAAACCCAGAGGAAGAGAGGAGGACTGAGTTCTACCAGGCGCCCTGGGTACCAGAGGCAGTGGGCAGATACGTTTACTCCAAAGTAAGGAATTACGCAGCCTTATCTCATGCTTAACAATGTACATGTTTGATTATTGTAAGGATTCAGTAGATTGTTTTTAGTTCGCACTGACACTGTCTCCTTTTTTGGTTTCAGGTGCAGCAGAGAAGACAAGAGTTGGAGCAGGTGCTGGGCATCCGACTCACCTAAAGACATATTCCAGAGGAGTCACAGCCAGTTGACTCATCAAATGTTAATGTCTCTTCAACTGAAATTGGGTTTAGCTGAGAGAAAAATAAGCTAATGTTGGAGCTTAAATGTTCACAAAGCCATCCTCTCTGGCATGTTATGATAAACCAGCTTCTGCGTGGGATCTCTGTTGTCCTATAGATAATAATTCAAAAATCTACAAAGTATATGGGACCAAAGCGATGATTAATGTGTCCTTAATAATACATTTAACTTGCATTGCTATTTTGAGCCTGTTCAAATAATCATTGCCTTGTTTTGCAATATGTTTTCTTCATGGTACATTATGCTTCAAACATTTTAAGCATTGGTGCTGTCTAGGTGTTTTTCATCATCACCGTTTTGTGCTATTTTGTTTACCTTTACATTTGAAAGCCATAATCTTCAGAAAGGATGAATACCTGATACCTGCCTTGGGAGGCATCCCAAATATATATCCATACTTAAAACCATTTTACACCAGAAATATATATTATTTTTTATTTCAGAAATACATTGAGAAAATATGGATTATATTCTACAAAAATTTAGGAATTCTTAAGATGTCCCATGACTTACAAGGAAATAATAAGAAGCTTTAGAAGTTTAGATTCTGTTTATTTTTAAATATTGGTGGATATATCATTTGAAATAAAACCTTTCTTTAGTGTGTAAGAAAGCAGGATTTCCAGGAAAGCTCTACTTTTGGGAAAGATTGAGCTCCTTTTTTGTTCACGGACAGGAGTCCACTGTGTCCAGCTGTAATGCAGCAGCTTTTGAATGTTTACATGCTATTTTCATTTGTTATTGGGTGTTTTCATTGTTTTTATGCCAGGAAAAGGAACTGTTTGGATTGAAGGATCCATACCTCCCAAGAGGGTGAACTGGTATTAATAAAATAGGAATGCAGTTGTAGTGTGTCAACTAAACAATGCACCAAAATGTTGTGTACAGTTTAAAGTTTCATGTGTTAACTTTTCATTGAAATGCTTTTGTGTTAAGGTTTTGCATGAGAGGACCTCCTGAATTTCTTTAAACATTCCATATTAACAGATATCAATGTGCCAAAATGTGTTTTTTTAAGAAGGCACTCAGAATTTTAGACATTTTGTGTGTACAAATATTTGTTTTGTACAGCCTCTTTGTAAAATGTTTTGCATGTTGTGTATCAATCAAAAGCCTTTATCTTTTATACATTTGGAGGATTTTTTTTTTTTTTTTTTACAATAAATATACTTACAAATGTTTGTTTTCCTGTATTTTTGATAATCTAGAACATATTACTTTATATTATTATGTTATGCTATGTTATTATTAATGTTGTAGACTTCCATTCATACCTTCTACAGCCTGTCTGATAAAAGTTGGGGTCTGACTGTGAGTGTGCATGTCAGGGCTAGTCGGACAGCTCAGGTGCCTCAGAGAGGTTTCAACAGGTATGGCCGGTCTTACCTGTCCTTTACGGTATTTACCACTCCTCAAATAACGGCCAACCCAAACACATCCTCTTCACATATTACCCGAGTCTCCGTTTGTAAGGTGACTGATAACAAACTGCAGATAAATGGCCCATGTGTTTGTATAAGTTACTAAACTTTGAAACTGAAAGGCGTCTCTAGGCGTTATGATAACAGCAACAAAGTGATTTTAAAAGCCAAAACAACACGTTAAACGGTTGGGACTTAAGTAATGTGTACTTTTAAAAAAAAAAAAGGGGACTGCAGGTGGCGATGTGCGCATTTATTTCATGAAAAAAATAACCAGAAGAAGAACTGTTCCGGAAATACGCCTGTCCTCAAGCGGATGCAGAAAATTCCAACATGGAGGTGGACGGTATCGATCATGTAGGTGTATTTTTTTCTGCCGTTTTGTCGGTTTTATTGCTATATTATGAAAGAAACCTCACTGTTACGCTTCGAGTTGAGCCGTTCGTTGAAACCAGTGAGGTCGCATTGTTGTGCGACTGCGCTGTAAACGGTGAAATGTCGCCGGATTCAGAACAATAACTAATAGTCTGCTGCCGGTTTGCTGTCTCATTGTAGCTAAGCTAACTGAGCTAAGGCTCACTGTCACTACTCACAGCTAGCTGCTCGGACTGACTGGTAGCGGTATGTCGGAGTCTTTCTTTAGGTTTAGAAGATACAGCTTTAAAGTTACTGCTAATTGCAGGGTAATCAAATGAACCGTCATCCTAGCTCTGGCGGGTCGAGGTGACGTTAGCTGATAGCTTTCCTACGTTAGTGATAGTTAAACTCACGTTAGCATGGAGCTACAATTATGGAGAGACAAGTAACGTTAGGTTAGCTTTCGGCCCCCTTTATTGTTGGTTTTTGTTATAAAAACTATTTCTTATAACGGTGTTTTGTTCACTTAAAACACTCGGTGCTTATTAGTTTTGTGTGCATAGTGTGACTTGGCATTATTTTGAAAATGCTTTAACTTAGGTACAAAGTCGACCAACAGAAAGTGTATCAAAAAGAGTTGTTAAAGTTGATTTATCTAGTAAAAACCCAAACTATAATACGGTTGTAGTTTCTCAAATGTGAGCATTTCTGCTGTTTTATATCATTGTAAATGGATATCTCCAGTGTTTTACTGTAGTTTTACAAAGAGTTTGAAGATGGCAGTGGAAAGATTGATGCTGTTCCTTCTTTGACAGATGGAGATGGGGGAGAGTAAAGGTGGCTCAGGTCTCCGGCAGTACTACCTGTCTAAGATAGAAGAGTTACAGGTAAGAAAATAACACACCTGCAAGCTTTCGGCTAGTAATTTGACTCGGATTGCACAACTTGCGCTTGGCTGTCAACCCTAAAAGCCGCTCTTTTCCCAACAGCTGACGGTGAACGACAAGAGCCAGAATCTCAGACGTCTGCAGGCACAGAGGAATGAGCTCAATGCCAAAGGTACACTGTTCTTCATTACTGCAACACCAGTGTGTTTTAAAGTCTTATTTCATATAAAGCTGTACAGAAGAAAATTCAATTATACTTTTTCCCCCCTCAGTGCGTCTCCTTCGCGAGGAGCTGCAGTTACTACAGGAGCAGGGGTCCTACGTAGGAGAAGTGGTCAGGGTCATGGACAAAAAGAAAGTGCTGGTCAAGGTATGCTGTGTACTTGAACTTTGTAGCACACTGTGTTTTCATTACTAGTTGAAAGTTTAAATTGACATGTCTCCTCAACTTTTTCAGGTGCACCCGGAGGGAAAATTTGTCGTGGATGTGGACAAGAACATTGACATCAATGATGTTAGTATTATAGTTCATCTTAGTCATGGTTGCAAGTCAGAGCACTTTTCCCCCCATTACAATAACAAAACCAGAACACTTTTGCTCCCCTGTGCAACCAGTCACTGAGATAAAGGAAGATTTCATGACACTTGAAGTATTCTTCCTTTTGTCTCTTCTCCACCAGGTGACTCCAAATTGCCGCGTGGCCCTGCGTAACGACAGCTACACTCTGCACAAGATCCTGCCCAACAAGGTGGACCCTCTGGTATCCCTCATGATGGTGGAGAAGGTGCCGGACTCCACCTATGAAATGATTGGTGGCCTGGATAAGCAGATCAAGGAGATCAAAGAAGTGATTGAGCTGCCGGTCAAGCACCCAGAGCTGTTTGAGGCTTTAGGCATTGCACAACCCAAGGTAGGTGATTGACAAGAGAGCTAATAGTGTACAAGAGCTGTACTTCTTTTCACACCGACTCTTAAAGGAGTGAGTCCTCAGGTTCAAATACAGAAGGGTGCTGCTGAAGCTGACAGACACAGGCAGATATGGTGGCATCACTGGGGCACTTATGTGGCCTCTCAGATAAAGGAGTGTCTCTAGCCACTTTGTATATTGTTGCGTTGTATGTGACTTGTTATATTCATTTTTATTTAGTTAGATTAGTGTAGAGATTGCAGGTGTGCGAAAACTCTTCAGACAATGTCCAAACTGCAATGTCATCCAGTCAGAAAAAGACTTATTTAGGTTTCTTGGAGATAAAAAAAAAAAAGATCTTACTTGACAACAGTGATATTGTTATATTGACAATTATTTGTATTATCGGTTGGTCTGTAAAAGCAGCAACTAAGTTGTCATTGTGGCTTGAAAAGTGATAAACAATAATTATCTAATTGTTGTGGATTCATTTTCTGACAGTCAACTAACTGCTGCAGCTCTAGTCACATGTTGTCAGTCAGTGTACAGATTGTTCTGATTTCTGCTTTGAATGTGTGCAGGGTGTGCTGCTGTACGGTCCCCCAGGTACAGGGAAGACCCTGTTAGCCAGAGCTGTGGCCCACCACACAGACTGTACCTTCATCAGGGTGTCTGGCTCTGAGCTGGTCCAGAAGTTCATTGGAGAGGGTGAGCTCCTCTGTCTCTCCTTAACACTGTAACCACATTCATTTCCTATCCTATCTGATTGTGTAATCTTGATTGCTCCCTCTGTTGCGCCAGGTGCCCGTATGGTGCGTGAGCTCTTCGTCATGGCTAGAGAACACGCTCCCTCTATCATCTTCATGGACGAGATCGACTCCATCGGGTCGTCTCGCCTGGAGGGCGGCTCAGGCGGTGACAGCGAGGTGCAGAGGACAATGCTGGAGCTGCTCAATCAGCTGGACGGCTTCGAGGCCACCAAGAACATCAAGGTATCACACACACACACACACACACACACACACACTATTGACCATTTAGCTGTTCACAGTGCACAGTATGGAAGCGTTAGCAGTTTATTTATACATCATCATTATCTTACCTCTCTAATAACGATGTCAATTTGTTTTAATCTGAATAAAATTCACTTTCTCTCTCTTCTTTCTCTCTCAGGTCATTATGGCCACCAACCGTATTGACATCCTGGACTCGGCTCTGCTCAGGCCAGGCAGGATTGACAGGAAGATTGAGTTTCCTCCTCCAAATGAAGAGGTATTCACTTGCACAATATATACAAACATATATACGTGCTGTTGGGTTTTTTGTGTTTGAGCATATCTTAATTCTGCACCAATAGGCCCGTCTGGACATCCTGAAGATCCACTCGAGGAAGATGAACCTGACACGTGGCATTAATCTGAGGAAGATTGCAGAGCTGATGCCTGGAGCCTCTGGGGCTGAGGTTAAGGTGAGAATTGGCCTGCAGTGGTAGCAGTCGGGTGGTAAATAAAGGGAGAACACAGCTGGTCTTTTTATTTAATTGTCTTGTGTGTATTTTTAGGGTGTTTGCACAGAGGCAGGGATGTACGCTCTGAGAGAAAGGAGAGTTCACGTCAACCAGGAGGACTTTGAGATGGCTGTGGCAAAGGTTTGTGTAACCAATCGCTTGTACTGTGTATCCTTGTTGTTTTTTCACTCTACTGGCCCTGTAGCTACCTATGTATATTTTATTCCCATGCTTGTATAACAGATGTTTCTGCCAGTAGCTGCATATTAAGACTGTTCCTGTTCTCCTCACCAGGTGATGCAGAAAGACAGCGAGAAGAACATGTCGATCAAGAAGCTGTGGAAGTAAAAGGCCTTGTGTATTCTTGCACACAATGCAAACACATATGTATATTTTCTTTCTTTTTGTTTATGGTTTGGTTTATAATTGTTACATAACTCATTCTAAAGTAAATGGTTTCCCCAAATAATACTGGATGGCTCATGAGTTTTATTTCTCATCAGTTCATTATCTTCCACCAACTGTTTCTCATTAACATCAGACAGATGAACAGTAACATGTACAGTCTCCAGCACGAGCTGCAGATTTATTCTTTCGCTTTACGATACAAGTTTTGTAAATGCTCGATATGGCACTTCACATTGTAGCTGCTACTACAGTACACAAACATAATTGATCGTACGGAGTGCGGATCTTTGACTACGGCTTGCTTTAGGAACTTTGTCCCACATGCATGTACTACATGCCTGTTAGAGCTGTTCTACTGCCATTGTACAGCTTAGATATACAGTATGTCATTTTACACTGAAGAATCTAACACAGAAAAGCTTGCTTGATGTTCACACTGATGAAAAAGCAGCTCAGTCATTGCAGATGTTTTGATTCTGACTTCACTCAGCCAACTATCACAAACTTGTATTTGTGGAACGGTTAGCATGGCAGTAAACACTGGATCACTCAGAACCTCCAGAGGCTTCCCACAGTTTGTCTGTCTTCCAAACACACGCACACGGTGGTCCACTGATCCAACTTGAACCAGTTGAGCTCAGTTAAGCAGGCTAGCTCCTCACCCAGCACACAGGCACCCACTGAGGCTCAGTCTGCACCCTCTCCAGTACAACCTGGAGCTCAGCTAAGGCACTGGCTGGGTCCTCCTTCACCAACACGTAGTCCACCCAATGGCCGTAGCACTCGTCGATGCGCTCAGCTGAATGTTTCATTTCCTCTAGGTCCTCCTCCTAGTCAGCGCAGGGAAGGAGAGATGTTGATTCAGGGCAGCACACGTGGAAAAAACAATAATTTGTGGAGAGGCTGCATTTAGTCACTTTATAATGAAGCGGTCCCGTTTGTCAGGGTATTCAAGTTTTATGTGGGCAGTGTTTTCATGTGACTCACCGTGATCCCCAAGCTGAGTGAGGAAGAGGAGCCAAGTGGTTTCCTTGGAGTATCATAGATGCGAGGCCTTACAAAGATGACATATGGTTTGAACTCAGCGGTACGTAGAGTCTTCAGCACCTGAATGTGGGAGAAACACTCAATATGTTACCTCTAAAGGGACTTTACCACGTTTAGATTGTACAGTAGACATTAAGTCTTCTCTTTGCACTGTCAATCAATGACAATATTCTTCATGGAAAATCCTTAATGCCATGTCAAAACAGTTTACAAATTCTAATAATTTGAGTCTTTAAATGTCAATACATAAACATTAAATAACCTCAACATAAGACACATAAAAGCCAATCCCAACTTGAGGTACTTGAGTGTGAAAGCACCCTTCAGTTCACAGTGAACTAAATTCTCTGCACTGAAGACTGAATCCATACTTAGTCATGCTTAAAATGTGACAAGTAAAATCTTAACAACTCTAATTTAACTGTCAGATTAGTGACGCTAAATCTTGGAATATACGACTTCTGTTCTGCACTAGTTAAAATCCACTCTGCCGCATTCTGCATGAACTGTCAGGGACTTTTTTGTGGCTGATAAAATGAGCTTATTTTACTTATTTGACAGACAGATTTGTGATTATCCTAATTGATTTATTTACGTTGGAAGATAGATCCATAAAATGAGGGAGGAATCAATTGAAAAATTCTTGTGTCTGACCCCATGTCTGTTCAAGCAAAATGTTAAGTACTTGCAAGGTATTGCAATCAGAAATGTGTTTGGTTGGCAGTGCTGCATGTCAGTTTCGATACTAACCTCTGGTTGCACATCCACCAGACAGGCCTTGTTTTGATCCAAAATTCTGTGAATGGACTCCAAGCTGGTGCCATACAGATTATCTTTATACTCCCCATATTCAATAAACCTGCAGAAATACAGCGCCGTCATTAATTATTCAAAGTACAAACAAAGGCCGTAGCAAATCAGTTTCTTGTTCAGAGTCTGCATTCTTCTGAAATAAAAAGTAAACCGTTTGTTGATTAAGAATCAAGATTCAGTGAGAAAGTATTCACTGTCCAATACTCACTTTCCATTCTGGATGTCGGCCTCAAAAGCAGCTTTACTGATGAAGTGGTACTCCACTCCTTCTCTCTCGTGAGACTTCCTGGCTCGAGTGGTGTCTTCAGGCCGCATGTTCAAATACAGCCAGCAGGGAGACAGTGTGGGAAAAAAAAGATAATTACTGACTGTTAGTATGTTGTTGTAGGAGGGGGGGACTTTATAATAAGGTTGCAAAACACATGCATAATTAATGTATGAGTCATGATATAACACCCATGCATTGGAAATGAAAGCAGAACATAAATGTGCTCATTGAGATATGAAGCCTTTTTTAAATCGAACTGGTAGTCTGATGCAAACATTTACCTCAGGTCTGAAATGATCTTTTCTGTGTAATAAAATTCCAGCCAATTTGATGATATATAAATTAATTTAACTGAGTATGAGGGTTAAAAAGAGTAAATATTTATAAAGCATAAAGACTTACGAGGCACGGCCAAACCATAACGTCGAGGGTTTTCAGCGATCACCTTCTGTTTGAGCTCAGTGATTCGAGCTCCCAGGGAACCTGCGACCACATAGGAATAAATTACTGAATAGACAGTTATACAAGAGGAGGAAACCATATCTCAGAAATAACACATTACAGGACCAGACTCAATGAGAAATAAATGTATATCTCAGCACAGCTGATCATCATAAAATACTGTAATTCCTTCAATGTTCTTACCTATCAGGACTATGAGACGAGGCCTTTCTCCAGGGCGGGGCAGATATTGTGTTACTTCTTCATAAATCAGGAACTCTGTGTGATTGGCATCTGGAGTTTGAGGTTCTCCTGGTGAACCCTGTCGATCTTTCCGGAGGCGGAAACTTCTGCGCAGGCCAACTGTGGTCAAAGACGAGCAAAGGTAAGATGAGACCCACGTACTGAAACCCTCTTAATGAGCACACCGCCACTTTGAAACCTTGACATTGAGAAATGCAAGTTACAAGCTTAATAAAAGAGCTGAACTGCAAATCTGTATATCTCCCTGATTAAAATTCAAATCCTGTGCCATACATCACACAACACAGACACGCTGAACAACACCATTAGAAATAAGTGAGAGTACCTGAGTAAAAATCCCATGAGAAAGCATGGCCACAGAAGGCAGGGGCTGCCTTACTCTTGGGAGAAACTAAAGCTCAGATTAGACCATTTATTCAGCCAGCTTAAATCTCATCAATAGAATAAGAAGCTGTGAAGCCATGCATGCTGTGTCTACCTCTTCACCAAACACGAACAAAAGCACCTTTAGCATGTAGCGTGAGGAGAGGCCTTTTGTGGAGCACAATGAGATATGTGAGCTGAAGATTACGGCACAAAAAGCCTGTCACAAATCCACACACAAAGAGCTGAGCTTTTTTTGTACATGGCAAGGGCATGAAGATACACCCACAATACACTGCCACTCACTGCTGATGTGTTTAATACAGAAAAATCTGTGACCAGTCCAGCTATTTTTAACCTTAACAGTTTTCACGATTGTCCATCAAACTGATCAATTTAATCACTGATCAATTGTTTTGCAGTAGTGGTCACACTCAAATTGGTGTGGAGCCACTGCAGTTATTGTTACCTCATAGGAGGGCCACTTTAAGGGGTAGTTTAAATTGATATAAAACAACCAGAAAATATAATCCGGCGGCCGCATTATATTACATTTTTGACATTATGTTTTCGGGCCAGATGGAGGGGGATCGAGGGCTGGAAGTTTGAGATCCGTGCACTAAAGGAAAAGTTAAGGGATCACCGAAGTCATTACGGATCACCGAAGTCATTACAATTAATCCTGACAGGAATTTGAATGTGTGCACCAAATTAGATGGTAATCCATCCAATAGTTGTCAAGACATTTCACTCAAAACCACAAATATGGTTCATTGTAGCGCTAAAGGGAAAGTCATTAGGCTGCATTCTCAGGTGACCATGAATGTTGTTGTTGACATATATTCCAAAGGTGGGCTGACATTGCCATCACTAAAGCCATATGATTGTCAGTGCTATACCACATACTGTGTAATGAGTCATTCTTATGTTAATTCTTGACTTGTGTGTAAGTGTGTGTCTGTGTATAAGATTTTAGTAAGTCAATCTGCCTGATGGAATAAGATGTGAAAATAAGGTCCAGGTCAAAACAGCTGGAGTAATGTTTTCAGGCACAACAAACCCACAGTAACAGAGGTCACATAAAGCCATTAAAAGCAGCCAGGAAGCCTTATGAACAAACTGACAAGTTTGCTAACTGAGCCCGTAGACCACGTCAGGTGTGGTGGAACAAACAAATCTCTTCAGTTATTATTTTTTTGTATTTCAGAGTGCCGAGGTGAGGTGTTACATCTGGCACTGAGTTCAAAGAATAAACTAGTGAATGCAGATTTACAAGCGTACACCTGTCGCGACCGTTCATTAACAACCAAAGCAGGACATAGCAATCCACTGTAACACCTGAAGAACAGCTTTTAAAAAAAGAGGGATGGATTAGCACACATTGAGCAAAAAGATGTTATGTTGCAGTGATTAACTCTTTGAGCATGCCTCCTCACCTATGTCCTTTCCATTTAGAGCACCCTCACTGTCACAGTCTTCTGTAGGACGACATGCAGGAAGAGAAGACAGGGTAAAAGGAGGCAGGAGAGGTTGATGTTGAGGTCAAATGCAGTAAGTACATTACTAAGATTTTGAGGATATTAAGGCAACTGTAAAAAGGTAAAAAAAAGGGTAAATTATAGGAAACAAAAATAAACTGTGTTTTTTTAGGTTTTGGGGGGTGCTGATAGAATTTCATTTAGAAATTCTGACTATTATAACATGGAGTTGATGCAGGGATGATTTTCTAACATGAGGGTATGTCCACGTACCTCTCTCAGCACGATCATCTGAGGTTCGCAATGCAAAGGATAACACAAAGTATCACTATAAAGAGTGGCAGAATATTAGTAACTGCTGTACTGTAGTCAATCTGTACTTAGAAATCCTTCACTGACTTTATCTACATCTCTTGTCGTGTGTACAGATTTATTAAAGAGAGTCTATAAAACAGCTTTTACCCGATTCACAGTACTCAGACATTCAGATCAAAGGGCAACACCTTCACACACACAATCATACTGCAGGATTTCTGCATCTTTTTATAAGCTTAGAGGAGGTTTTTACGACAGACAGAAGAAAACCACCACCCGTTGCTTAGTTTCATTCTACCTTTAAATTGGATTAGGAAATGAAACGATGGATTACATTTTTTTTTTTTTTAGAGATTACCCTCAGATCCTCTGTTCTCATTTCATAATCTCTCTTTATGTGTCTCCTTGGTAAGATTAGATTTAGCCAATACAAGCTGCAGCTGTAGATCTAAGCGTCTTGTACATTTATGGTTGCACTGTAGGTTACGGGAGTTACGAGAGTTGTTTTTGATTGCAGAAGTGAAATAGGCTTACATGTAGGAGCTTTGGGGGACATAGGGGCAGGAAAAGAACGCATTTTCATCCTGTATCTCAGGCGCCTGTGAAGCACAAAAACAACAGAGTTGATCTGCACAGACATCTTCAAACCCTACACATAGTGGCTTTAAACTGAGTTATTTCTTTGACAGCAGAGTTGATGTCAAGTACCTCTCCTGGAACTGTGTAGAGGGGACGAGGGCAGCGCGCAGGTTACAGTCGCCCACCCTCTTAGCCTGCCACCAAGTAGAGTCCTCCTGGCTGACAACCTGAAGAATGTCCCCCCTCTTGAAAGGAAGTCCCGCCTCTTGGCATGGCGTGGCCTTGTCCTCATAGGGCGTGTAGTCAAATAAAGCCCGAAGGTAGACCTACAGGGAGCAGGAATATGATGTTAGCAATGATAACAATAGTTGACTTTGGGAAATATGATAATATTTGCTTTCTTGCAGAGCGTTAGGTGATAATATCTTACCATTAAATGTAAAGCTACAGCCACTTAGCTTAGCATAAAGACTGGAAACAGGGGAAAACAGGTCTTTTGTACTGATTAAACAAACATGCCAGTAAGTGAACTTAAGGCTGGTATAAGTATACTTCTTAAGAAATCCTTCTCAGACGGTCGAGGAGCTTCGAAAACCCCCTTCCATCACACCTTTCCAACCACCTCTCTCTCTCTCTCTCTCTCTCTCTTTTCATTCTTGACACCATTTCTGTCACTTTTCATATGAACAACCAAATGCAACAGTATGGATGTCTTCTGGTGGAGACTGTCTGAAGATGTGACCTGATCGAGCATAACCCGGCCCTAAGAGGTAGGTGGATTATGTTACCTTGAGACAAAACCAGGCTAGCCGTTTCTCGCTGTTTTCAGTCTTTATGCAATGCTAAGCTAGCTCTAGCTTTATATTTAATGGCCGGATATGAGAGTGGTATCGATCTTCTGATCCAACTTTCACCAAGAAAACAAATAAAGGTTTAATTTCCCCAAATGTTGCATCTTTTAATACATTTAACAAGACATCTTCTGTTCCTAATGAGATTACCAATGAGAGTGTGTGCAAGTCTTTAATAAGAACAAAGTTTTTATTTGGAAATTTAATTATTAATAAATTAGACATTAAATTTTTGTGGCAGGAGAAATCCTCTGTTTACTCTTTCTGGATTAATTATATATTAATTCAATTCAATTATACATTTAGGTTTCAGATAAATGAGTCCTCACCCTGCTTTCCTTCAGTTTGTCTTCTTCTGCAACAGCTGGAATAATTTTCAGAGTGATGGAGCCTTGTGACTGGGACTGAAAACATCAGAGCAGCATCATCATCCACTGCATCCACAGTCATATTCAGTGAATAATTATACAGTATCTGTACTAGTATGATGCTTTTTTTCATTTACCAGTATCTGACTAATTTCATCTGGCCTTTTGTGGGTGATCAGGTTTCCATTGACCTCTCGAAGCTCATCCCCAACATGCACCAGACCTGGAAACACAAACAATAACAACACACCCACAAAACAAGTCTAGTGAAAACAAGCCTACTATCCAAGCAAAATAAAGCAAAGGAAAATCCCAGCATGTGCAGTACCACCAGGAGTATTTTTAGTGTTTCAAGCTCAGATATGAACAGAAAGAGAATTTTCCGCTGGCATGAAGTCGATAACATCTCCATGGCAACAGCCAGGAGAAACCCTTGTTTGTAATCTCAAAATATGCAATCTCGTGGCACTAATCTCAAGGATTTGATCTCTGTTGACAGTTCATGGGGTTACACAACGTAATCTCCTCTCTTCTCGGTCTGTGTATCAGTAGAGATAAGAAAGTCCTGTTGGGTGGGAAGTTCCTATCCTATCCTATCTAAGAGGAAAAAAGAACACAACCGATATACTGAACACTGCTTAGTCTCACCACTGCGGTCAGCTGCTCCTCCCCTCATGATTCTGGCCACGATTACGGCTCCCGTTGCTTCATCTCTCCGGATGGTCGCTCCCTGATGGAACAGACGCAACAACAAATTTCCAAACACATCTAATCTTCAGTTCACTCAGCTGATACAGTCCTGTGGTAAAGAGCTGCTTCTCATGTGCAGGTTTTTGGCTTTTGCTCGAATCAAAGATCAATGACCTGTTAGAGCAAATGCCAAAACTCTGTGTGACTGGAGATATTGATACTTGATGACCAATCGCATCCTTTGAGGAGGATAAGCTAAGTGAACCATCTGTGTACTGCAGCTTCAGCTTTAGAGTACAGACAGTGTGGTATTGATCGTTTTATCCAACTCTTGGCAAGATAAAAGTACATTTCCCAAAATGTCTAACTACTTCTTAACGTTTAGCCATTACACATATTATGTGGGTTGTACAATATCAACTCGGACAGATGAGCACTCCCACATGTGAAAAGGAACAAATCAAACGCACTTGTGTGTGAGACTGTGATAGCAAGTCAAAAAAGAAAAACAGTACTTAATTAAACTGCCAAAGCTCATATCACCTTTGGAACAAACTGGGCTGTGTTTATAATAGAAGATATTTAGCTCTGTAATTTGTGCAGAACTGGTGTCACTGCAGCAGGTGTTTCTGACAAGTTAACACCAAATCTATTTTTTGTCCTTTGCTTGAAGGATTTCCTTCAGAATGGATTTTTTATAGCATCACACAGAGACACACATTCACACCCCGGAGCTCTCTAAAGCCTCAAATCTACTCCATTAAAGTAAATGGAGTCTTGAAGCCTCACTTGAGGGCACAAGAATAGCAGCTGTTGAGGGGAGGGGAGAGCTCTTATTTTGCCTCACCAGGGGCTCTTTGTTCTTCACCAGGCGGACAATCTTGACAGACTCTTCCTCCAGGTCATCGTCCAGATCCTCCGGCAGTGGCGGCAGCACCGGGTCAAAGTTCTTCTGGGCTACTGTGTCATGGGCTGACAGCACTGCCTTTAGGAAACAACACACAGACAGGTACGATTTAAGAGCCTGAATGACAACGACAACATTAAGAACACAAATGTGCATTCTGCTTTCACAGCTGTCATCCTTTCCGCTCCCCAGAAAGCCAATAAATTGAAAATAATCACTTGATAAGAGTAATTAGGCAGTCTTGTCTGTGTCTAGGGGACAGGCGAAGGGGTACAGACAGTTCTGACGCTGGTGTTATGTAACAGATGATCAACTTAGTGCTTTCACCCTGAGCTGCTCTGATTTTCCTCTGAGAAGCAACGACATTAAAGAGATCAGACATCAGAAGGAATGAGGGGAAAGAGACAAGAGTCAAGCATTTATAAGACAAAAGACACAAAATGTGTGTGAGTAAGTGTGTGTGTGTGTGTACCTTGAAGTGAGGAGTGCTCAGCAGGAGAAGCAGCTCCCTCTCATCGTCCTCCAGAGCTCCATTCTGAAGCTCTTCTGCCAGCTGACGATTTAAATCAGAAAAATCAAATATTTCCAAATGTTGTGCCCAATCTCCTCGTAAAATAAATTTACTTTAGAAAATTTCCTTCGCTGGATTACAATAAATGTTTACTTTCACTTGGTTTTTAATTATATTCTTTTAATTAATGGTATTTAATGTTCAGCTTTAGTTTGGCTTTGAAACGTTGAGGAGAAGATTGCACCTACATCCTCTGCCAGACAGGAGGCGCTGTGCAGAACTGGAGTCGGACTGTGTTTCTCATACTGCCTCAGTTTGTCATGGATCTGGGACGCACAATACATGAAAAGATACACAGATATGCACAGACACACAGAGTGTTTTCTTTACAGGACATGTTTACAAGAATCAGCTGTTTCTACCATTATATATCTAGAGAGACCTGTATAATGCTGTATGCAAGTTCTGGTAGTCTGAGAACATTGTTGCATTCAGGTACAGGTTTATCAGAAAAACTAATCTGGGAGATACTAGACAAACATTTCAGATGAGGCTAAACTGTTTCTGTATGCAGTACTGCAGGTTGTTCAACCTGATTGGATTCCTGCACTCTTCATAGAATTGTTTTTAAAAGGATGTGTAGGATTTACATTTACATTACACACTGGACCTTCAAAGTAAAGAAAGACAGTATGCAACTGTCAAACATGATTTGAAGGCCGCATTCGGGCCAAAGATCACAATCTCAAGTAGTCACTTTTACTCAGACATGGCTGCTGTACCTTCATGAGGTAACCAAGGCTCTTCTCACTGAAGACATCTCTGAGGAAGACCAGGTCCTCTTTATGGTTGGCATCAGGGTGCAGCTGAGAGGTAAGCAGGGCCAGAGTCTCATGCAGGCCTAGGAATCACAAAAAAACACATTTAAACACGCATTTGGCCGATGTTAATACTGAAAATAGAATCTTTTCTATGATTAGAAAGGATTAATCATTACAGTGAGAAAATAAAAGCACTGTGTCATTACAAAGTCTATTTGAACACATTGGATGTATTGTGTTGTTTATGGATCATAATAATAACCGAATACACTTAAATCTGGAATCTTAGATCTGTTTTGTTAGACATCATTGATTTTTTTTTCTAAATCAAGGAAATAACAAATGTTGATATTCAGATCCAAGTCCTCTTTACAGTAGAAACTATATGGCTTAGTTTATTTCTCCAATATCTTCCTTTGTAAACTTGTAACTTATTTCTTAACTGCCCCTCTTCCTCCCCAGATATCAGTGAAACTAAATATAATTTATTGAAGTTGTTTGATGTCAGTTTACTGTTTGGGTATATCCAAATGAGACTGGCATGAATCCCAAGCTTCCAAGTGAAGTCTCATGTAAACACATTGTAACAGAAAGGCTTCTCTAAGCTTCTTTTTATGGTACCAATGTCATGTACAATAAGCTCCTGTAATGTCTGCTTGATATATTAGCATTTGCAGTATTTATAAGCTTATAAAGCGTCTGAGAGAATGAACAAGTAGCTTAAGCATATGTTTGGCTGTACCTGTATTTGCAGACAGGATGGGCATGGCTTCAATCATTCAGAGGAGGCAGGAGGGTGCAGAGGGGGGAGGGAGAGCAGGGAGGGAGGGAAACAAAGCCAGTGAGTTCTCTTCTGTCCTTCTGTTCCTCACGAATGGCCGAGGTGGAAAATCACGACACAGCTGGGAATAAAAAAAAACCAACCACATTGTGACTCATTGAGCTGTATTTTACATGCTCTCTCCTTCTCCTGGATGTGATTAGTTATTTCTATGTCTACGGTTATTCTTAATGTCTGGTCAAATTCGGTCAGATTTCCTTTAAAAATCACTGAAATGAGGCGGTGAAAACACACTACTGCTTTCATCCACAGGTGCCGCCAGAAATTGCCAAAAATTAAGTTCTTTGTTGCTGCTTTAATTGAAAACCGCACAAGCTTGAAAAAACAAGAGTATGATTCTTTTTACTTACAGGATTAAATTTGAGACACAAAACACAACAAAGAGTTAATGGTTGTTGTTGCAAACATTGACTATAAAAGCAAAAATCTCACCTCTGTGATGCTAATAGAGAGCCCAAATTAGTTTCAGTACCCTGGAGCTCACTTAGTAGAGCATATAATTTCTCATTTAAAAATTACTTCCAATGTAAATACATTTTTAAAAGAGCAACCGGCCAGCCGTGCTTTGACAGTGATAAATCAACCCATTACTGTGCTGGAGTTTCAACAGAATTAATAGCTGCTCTCATTACTGAGGCATAAAGCATTCATTTCATTTCAAACTGTGTGACTGTCAAACTAGAGGAAAGTGAGGTCAGGTGACACCGATCACTTTTGTCCAATAGGATCCTTCACCTTGTTTGTTGCCGCAGTAACCATACAGCAGGTTAGATCATATTTGAGTTGTGTCACATTATTCACTTCACTACTTTGTGCAGTGAAGTATGGAGCTTCAATCTGGCATCACTATGAGATTTTCATTATAATTATATTTTATTTAAGGCTCTTTCCCCCCATTAGGTTTCCAATCGAATCTCCAAACAACAGATTTCTTACAACCCGATCATTAACCAACAGTGGAGAAATGTTGTTTATATTTTCATTTGTGTGACGTCAGTAATTACAAGCCATCTCTGTTGGTGATCAAAGTGCAAACAGAGCTGAGATTAGTCCAAATAATCCACTGACTCCACTGATTTTGATTAATATTCAAGGAGGGAAATGTACGTCACTGTAAGATATTATATTATATTATATTTTATGATAAGCCAGATCAAGTTGACTGGTTGGTTGACTATTTATATTTATAGATTAGCATTTACAGAATGTTTAAGTCAGTTTATCAAGCAATAATGCCAAACATTCTCTGGTTTTCACTTTCACTGTCTTTATTATCATTAATACTGTAACATTAAATATCTTTGAGTTTTAGGCTGTTGGTCAGACAAAACCAGTAACCAGTACTAGGCTCTGGGAACCCGGTTAGAAAAAAAAAAGGATCAATCAATCAATCAATAATAATAATCACCAATTATCGAGAGTCCAGCAGATGATCATTTCCCAAGAGGAAACCATTTTGTTGGACAAAAAATGTACCAATAAAAAAACATAGCTAATGTTGTGCTACTATATCTTTTAGATTAAAGGGAGGATGTACATTTTCCTCCTCAGCCGTCCCAGCCTCGGTTCGATCGCTGCCTGAGAAGCACATTCTTAATTAACAGTCCCTGCAGTGTACGATTCCCCTGCTGTGTACCTGCTCTCACCTTCTCACTGCTCCTGGAACTGCTGGCTGTGTAGGTGGGAGGCTTTGAGCACCAACAGACACATCTGTGGGAGGGTCGCTGTAGTAAGATACCAGGTGAACATGCTGTTTTTGAGTATGCTCAGTCTTCAACCTACACTACATATCCCTTGACTATTGAAACCTGCATGCTGCATTCGTGAGGGCAGTTATCCCATCACATCCATCAAAACCAGCAAAATGGCACTGACCTTATCTCCATACACAGAGCAGAACTTGATTAAAAGATGAATACAATCCACCGTTAAATCTAATCCAACTGAAACCAGCATTGGGGAATCAAAACAGTGTACATTGGATTTTTAGGCTACATTTTCTGCTTTAGTGAAGTTTTTTCTTATTACCACATGATATAAAAAATATAAGCTTGACAGAAGAAAGCTTCTTAGCCAACTCTCCTAGAGGTAATCATCACATTTCCGTATCGTAAAGCCTATGTTTTCGGACCAGAATTCACTGCAGCCACTTGTTGCATCTATCTAAATCTGTATTAATAGGCAAATACTATAATGATGTGTTTAATTTGTAATCTGAACAACCAGGCATGACACAACAGTAATCTCTCTCCACCTCACTTTTTTTAGGGTACTCTACTGAACAGGATAAAATACAAATAAAAAGACAGATATGAAGTAGTTAGAGACACAAACAAATGAATTACGACATTTGACTGGATGCCACAAGAGGCACAGACAAAAAAATCTGTGTGAAGCCAGAACTGAAAGTAAAAGTCTGTGTTTTTCACTCTGGAAGCAATATTTCCTTTGAAATGGAAATTAGAAAAACAATCCTGCAGTGTTTTCTGGCTCATTGTTAGACATCCACAATTACCACAAACACACGCTTGCTTGACATCCACAGTACAACAGCCAGGAGCACCTGATCAGCCTGTTAGCAATGTGGCGAGCCGTCAGCCCTCATCAAATTTATTTATTGTTATGACAGATGAATGGAGACATCTATCAGCCTCATGAATTTCGTGTTATTGCTGATTATATTTACAGAAATCATAATACAATGAATGCAACAGGAGAATTTCTAGTTCGGTATCTTAGAGTTTAATAAAAGAAATCACCACTTTTTATTGTCTTCTTGCCAATTTTGTCAAAACTGTGATTTACAATTGTCTTCTGTAAATTCTTCATCATTTTCTGTCACTTCATGGTCACATTTTAGGGCTGGTAAAAAACTGACCAGCTGCCAAGGAAATTTCTAGTTTGGAAAAAAAACAAAACTAAAAAGTGATTGAAGGCAGGGTGGCATCATGCCAAAGTGGCAATTATAATAAACAGCCACAGCACAAACAGCCCTTCATTTAGCTGGTGACAAGTGTTCATAAAGCGCAGGTTGAAGCCAGGTTTAAAATGTAATGCATTCAATTGTCCCATAGGCCGCTGAGTGGAGATGAAAAACAAGCTTTTTAAAAAGGTGCTCAGAAAGGAGCTATTACACGTTATAATTGACTATCTGTCTGTTCCGTGTTGCTGGTGTTGTCCATTAGCAGCACATGGATGTTGATGGTATCATTACAAACGTGAGAATAAAATTGCTTTCTATAAAACTTACTGGAGGATGAACACACCATAAATAATTTATCTGCATCTCTTCATTCAGCATTTATCATATTCTATTACCGGGAATAGCTCGACAGTTATGCGTATGGGCTTTCTCGCTGAGAGTAGTGAGACGAACGATATCACATGTGTGTACAGAAAAATATGAAGTCAGATATGGAGCTAGAGCCAGCAGACACTTAGCCTAGCAAAACTACTGGAAACAGCTGGACTGGCTCTGTCCAAAAGGAACAAAAACCACCTACCAGCACCTCTAAAGCTCACTAATTAAGACATTGTTTAATCAATTCAAATAAATGTGTGTGGCTTTATGGTTGGCATGGCAACTTTGTGACCTCCTAAGGTATTGCTCCCAGCTAAGAAACATACAGTAGTCTAATTCAGTGGCTTTCAAACGGGGGTCTGGGGGCCAGCAAGGGGTCCTTGAGTGGGCTGTAGGAGGCCCCCCAGCCAAAGGAAGGATAGAATATTTGAACTTTTATCACATATTTTTGCTGGAGGATGACCTGACCTTTAACCTCTCCCTGTGAGTGACCCTTTGGCATCAATAATAATACTCGCAGATTGATTCAGTCTAATGCTGCTCCACCATCAGCGTGTCGGTCCCTTCATTCACTCACTCAGCGGAGCATTGACAAAGTGGCACTTTTAAAAAATCTATCCTGCACATTATCAGGCGAGACATACAGACACTCTGGCAGGCCTGTGCAGTGTCAGCTCACACAAACCGAGGTGGTAATATTTATTCATCTTTGTTTAATGCTTTACTTCTCTGTCAGTAGGATACAGCGCACATCGGCAGCTGGATATCCGCGAAAAATGGTGGCCCAACAGGTTGGCAACAAAGGAGTACCCAGGGTCTGAGACTGCGGCCATTACATCAAACAAACAGTTCATTTTAGAAAGAAATAACTTTTTGCCGTTGTTCTATATTGTCCTTATACTGAACAAAAAAACAAAAAATGCTAATACTAACAGTAACTAGCAGTAGCAGTAACTGCCATCTCAGCTTTTAACTGTACTGGACTGAGGTTTGGAGGTTGTGCAACCTTTATATAACTGTTATTTAATTGTGAAATTATATATTATAATTATTTATTAATAAAGATAGACACCTATCAAAACAGAGATACATTTAATTCATTTAAGCTATGAAGTGTAGTCAATACAAAGTTAATTTTCTCAAATAAACAAGTTAAAATGGTCTAGAAAGCTAAAAGAACACCAGGCTTTATGTTTTTGGGGGATACAATAATCTGCCTATAAAGGCATAAAATGAAGCCATTACAATGTTTTCATCTATGCCAGCCTGAAAATGTTGATCATTTTTTTCTACTGTAATTACCAATTGCTGACTTTCTAGGGAAGAAGTGTCCTCTAACTTTTATTATGTCCAAATAGAGGTGATTTATCTTTAAATGTTTGGATTAAAAAACAAACAAAACTGCATTTTCCCTGTCTTTAAATGGAAGTTTATTTAGTTCTTGCTCTCTGGCCATCACTCAACTACACTCCATTAAGAAAAACTTGGTTCTGACAACATGGCTAACACTCCTCGTCTGCGCTTCCCTGCTTCCATTCAACCCTCCTCCCTATACACTTGGCCCACGTTCCTGACCTTCTTCCTCTCCGTCTCTTCCTCCCTCCATCCGTCTCTCTCTCTCTCTCTCTCTCTAATTACAAGAGGCTGAGAAGAGCTTAAAGCAGACATCTTTCTGTTTTGTTTTTTTTCCTCTCACTCAACTGAGTCTATCGTCTAAATACTTAAGGTTCCCGCCGACCATATGGTGGTATTATCT